TGGGTTATCCTGAAAGATAGCAATACACATTGATTAATTATATGTGCCCACAAATAGATTTATTAGATTAAATCTGAAAGATAGCAATACACATTGATTAATTATATGTGCCCACAAATAGATTTATTAGATTAAATCCAACACTTAAAACTGAATGCACAGGAGAACAAACTCCTCCTTATCACCACTAGCTGCCTTGTTGGATTCTATTTGTACCTGATAAAAACGGAACATGGATTTAATCGAGTTGGGATCTGGCATAAAATAAGGCCAATCGCGGAAATTAGCTCGCTCAATTTATTTTAGACTGCGTTTGGGAAACAATATTTAGATTTGATGAGTATATTTGAAATCAAATGATTTAAAATCTAATATTTCAAATCCATAGATATTGTAGATCGCTTGTTTGGACATCTTTTTTAAATGAGAAGATTTTAAATCTACGATTTGTAATCTATTGTTTAGATGCTCTTGTACATGATTTCAAAATCTCACGCTCTTTTGCATGTAAATAGCGTAAAACTAGAATTACCCCTGCAAAGCAAATGTTTGTTGCAACTCGGAAACATTATTTTTAGATAGCTTTTTTTTTCTAATAATAAAAAAACAAAAATAAAAAGATCTTCCTTTGACAAATTGAAACCTAATGCATATTGTATAGATATTAAATAATATATAAATCAGAGTACTCTTATATCTGAAAATGCATTTTAGATAAGAATAAAAACGGAAGAGAACGTATCTAGTATTTCACATAACACAACATGCATATCTTGGGGTTGAAATCTCTCGCATTTCATCTTCTCCAAGGGTCTTCTTCTCTCATTAACAAATCATTAGGGAGTATTTTAGTAATTGACCATATTAATCTGAGGACTAACCAAACCATGTTTACACAAAAGAAAAACTAAACTGTCTGAATGATCTGAGGGGCCCATCAACAATTTCAATGATCTGCGGGACGAATCAAATTATGAAATATTTAGAGACCAATATGTAATTATAGAAAAAACGTTTCTTTAACTCTTCATTAAACCTAGGTCGTTGCTGTTATCAGATCCTATCCTATGATCAAAAAGCGCAACCTAGGTGTTTATCATTTGTTCTGAATAAAGCAACATTTTATATCAATTGCTAAACCCTTCATCAATATTAGGCTTCAAATTGAATTGAATTCGTGCCGCCATGGCTGCCTATTTCGAGCTCTACAACCAGCAAGAGAGAGAGAGAGAGACTCGGACGGTCAGGACGAGGCAGCTGGCGGGCGGCGCCAGCTGGGCAGATCTAGGGTTAGGTGAGAGAGAAGCTATAATAGTTTGGGAAGATGAAAGATCGCGATCTCAGCAGACTGAGAAGAGAGGATTTCACAAATCAGGCGTAATGGGCAGAAATTTGAAATTCTGGATATTCGGCTTTCAAGGCCTCCCGCATGAAATAAACTGATTTGAAAATCTGAGCCCAAAATGAGACCCAAACGACCCAAGCAATGGGATTTTGAATTGGGATTGGCATTTGGGCTTCGGTCGATTTCAAATCGAGGCCCAAATCCATGCGACCTAACCGACCCTTAAGTGTGAAAAGATCATCGCATAGGACACTATCTCAGTAAAACCACAATATTGAAAAGTAAATAAAACTCCCTCGAGTAAAAAGATCTCTCAAAAGACACCATCTCAGTAATACGTAAATAAAACCAATAAAAAGTAGCATTTCGCAACCGCAAACTACTAATATCATAATAGGTCCCCCAGGAATACCAGTTCATACAACGAAAATAACAAGATCTAGGAATAGTAACAAAACGTCTCAACCCATCCAAGAGAAAATACAAGACACCTAATCGAAAAGAGAGAATCCCATGTCATCATCGCTTTCTTCCTTCTCTTCCTTCTTCTCCTCAGCCGGAGTTGCCTCC